AGGGGTTCGAAGTGGCGCCCTGACGCGACCGAAAACAAGAGGCACCACATAGTTGTGGCTAGAACCTAAACGCGCGTAGATATATCCGGTTCCCCGAGCGCGCCGGGGAGCCCGAAACGGCACTGGAGGGTCCCCAGAGGGCCCCGAAACGGCACGGAAGTTCCCCAGAAGAGCCCCGAGACGGCCCAGGGAGGCACCGAGACGACTTAAGACAGCCCCGAGATGACCCAAGACAGCCCTCCGACGGCCCAAGATGCGCCCAAGACAGCTCCATAACTCGCCAAGACGCCCCGAGACAGCTCCGAGGGGACACCCTACGGGGCGCCGACAGGCCGAAATAGTAGATTTCCCTTAGATTTTCTAGGGATTCTGAGATTCTGGCGCTCTCGACCGTCTGGACCCCCAAAACGCCCAAGAAACTTCCGAGGATCGCCCCGAGACGGCCCAAGAGGCGCCCAAGAAAGCCGCAAGACAGCCCAGGAGGGGCCCAAGGAGGGCCCAAGAGGTCCCCAAGACGGCCCAATAAACCCCCAAGAGGCCCCCAAAATGGCCCAACAAGCCGCCAACGAGACCCCAAGACAGGCCAAGAGGGCCCCGAGTTTGCCCACGACGGCCCCAAGACGGCCGAAGATGCTGTCAAGACGCGGCCTCTGAGGACCCGAGAGCGCCCCAAAAGAGCCCCACCAAGAGGGCCTGAAGAGGCGAAGCTCTTCGAGTTCGCGTTGGCTGTCGATCGCACACAGTAGTTTGCTGGCATGTGCGCACCAGAGAGACAGAAGCGCGCGTCGCAAACTTCGACTCCCGCAGCCCCGTGGATTTCATCCACGGGTACACACTAGTATACCTATGTATGTAGATACGCATATATGCATGTGCATATGTATACATACCTAGGTGTATATGTGTGTATTTGTATATATATATATAAAAAATAAATAAATGAATGTATGTATGTATGCATGCATGTAAGTATGTATGGGTGTATGTATGTTTGTATGTTTGTATGTACGTGTGTATGACTATGTGTATATATATATATATACGGATCACTCGCTTTATCTCTCTGTGTCTCTCAACGTATGGATGTATCTCTCTCTCTCTTGTTGTGTCGTTCTCTCTGTCTCTCTCTCTCTCTCTCTCTCTCCCTTTGCTTGTCTCTCTCATCTGTTTCTCTTTCATGCCATCAGTACGCACCTCGTACTGAGCACATGGTGGGCCATCTCATGAGAGAGAGCACCACTCTGCAAACGCATAGGTGGCATCCACGATCTCACGCACCGTCGGCCCGATGCCCTGGCGAATTGACGCCCACATTGTGAACCAGCGGAGAATGGCAGGTCGAGGGAGGCGGCCTTCTCAGAAGACACTCCGCCGTTGAGAAGCACCCGTGCTTTCTACAGGAAGCATCGCGGACCGCCACCCAGGGGTTTTTGTTGTTTTTGGGAGAGAAAAAACAAAACCAACAACAAACAAAACAACAAAAACAACAAAAAAACGAGTGAGCCATCTACAAAAAAAGGAGCTGCGCCCTCTAAGAAGCCCACTGCCTTCGTGGATGACCTCTCCCATTTGCCCTGCCCCTTTTTGTACGCGCCGCGAAGTAAACATGCCGCTGCCGGTGGCTCAAGTTTTGCCGCACAGGAGGGGTCGCCCTGCTCCAGAGCACACTGCGGGCGATTCTTCCGCCGCGGCACCATCTACCAAGATGGACGAGGACGAGATCATGTCCTCAATGGACGGTGATGACGACGACGAGATCGGCACTGGAACTGGTGCAGACGATTTGTCCGAAGCCACTTTTGACGAAGACGAAGAAGGTGAGAACATTGAGGACATTGATGCTGGGTTCAAGTTCGGCACAGTTCCACGGGATCAGTTGAAAGGTTTGCAAGCTCACGAGATGCTTGCAAAGTGGAGCGAGGTGTTGATGCCTATCGAGGTTGATCTCATTTCCGAATTGGACGCGTCAAACTTGTTTTTCATCAACGTGGAATCTGTCATCTGCAACCTGATCCTGTCAAAAGAGATCGAATTCCAGGAGGACGCGCAGTTCTTGCGGCTTACATATGCCGTAGAGCAGCTGCTGAGCAGCATCAAAGGTTGCGGCGGCGTCTTCAGGCTGATTTTCTTCGACTGCGCCAAAAAGCTGTTCGCTCAAGCCTTCCCCGACTCTGTCTGGGCCTTCCGGCAGGCGCACTCCTGCCCTCGCCATCTCTTCCTCTCCCCCCCCATCATTGATCCCCTTGCCCTCTCCCTCTGCGAGCAGGCCTTCCTGGCACATTGCAAGGAGACCAGCGTGGACCACTCCGAGTTCCCGCACTGGTACGGTTCAGAATTCAAGCAGCAGGTTCAGGATCCCCCCTGTTCTCGTTCTCTTCCTTCTTGTCGTCGCTCTCATCGTCCTCCCCCTTCTCATCCTCCCCTTTCTCTTTAAGCTCATCGTTCTCCTCCATCTATTCAGCGACGCCTGCTGCTCCTCCTCCAACCCATCCTCTTCCTCCTCCGTTCAGGAGTGGAGGCCGTCCCTGTTCTTGGTAGCCAGCGACTTCATCGAGCTCGAGGATCCAGACGAGGACGACGAGGACGAGGACCCCGTGGTGACCGCGCAGTTGCGCGGGTTCTTTCACGCCATGATGCTCGGCTGCCTCTCGTTCAGGACGCACGTGGTGCTGCTCCGCGGTATGCAGCGCCGCGGCAACCGCGTGATGGCTTTCGCGCTGGAGCCCGACTACCACAACATGCAAATCGACAAGGAGGTGAGAGAAGCATTCACGAAGACCCTTGAAGCGAAAGACGAAGATGAAGAGGAGGAAGAGGAGGACGTCGGCCAGGCACTCGCTGACTTCGCAAAGCGCGCTGGTGAACAGGCCAAGCCCAACGCTCTGCTGCGGTCATTCTTGTCGTGTCGGTGGGCGAATGAAACTCTGGAGATGTGTGCAGGCGAGAACCCCCAGACCAGACAGCTAATGCAGTTGGTGGTGAAGGCGCTGTTCCTGCAGGAGGCGTTCGTGCGCTACATCAAGCTGGACAAGCGGTCGTTCAACATCCCCGCCGTGGAGGATTGGCCCCTCTTCGAGGACTCCATTTCCAGCGCCATGGATCGCTACTTCACCAAGATGGCAGCAGACCTGGAGAAAGTAATGAGGTCACGGCCAGAAGGGGTACCGCTCCAGGCAGCTGACATGTTCGACGGTCGCCTCTACCGGTACATATTCCATATCATCATCACTAAGGGCCTCGCTGGCAATGGCAAGGTGGAGGCAGATTTCTTCAAGTTGCAGGACTGGGTCATGAAAGAGGTTCAGTTTCTGTGGGCCGAGAGCGGCTCTTCGGAGCCTTTCTTTCCTATCGCCATGGACGCCTTGAAGAGCCTCCCGAACATTCAGCCACCTGACATGCCTGCCAGGTTGCCAGCGATGGCGAAACCGGAACTCGCCGATATCAAGTCCGATTTCTTGGAGGCCCTCTGGGAGGATGCGACTTTCAAGGACATGAAAATGGTGGAGATCACGGACGTGGAGGAAGATAATGTCCTCTGGGCTGATGAAAACAACTCAGACGCTCGTACGTATCAGTGGAACAAATATGCATCGATTGACTCCTTCAAGGAAGAGGAGAACATGGATGATAACGAGGCGCAAAAAGCGGAGAAAGCGAAGCTGGCTGAGAAGAAGAAGGTCACAGCTTGGGACATTGAATTTCAGCGTAAGTTCGCGCTGAAGAAGAGGCAGCTTGCTTTGCGGGCTCTCTCGCAGTATTCTAAGTCCCTGACTGGCTCCGATAAGCTACACCCCCCAATCATCATGAAGACGGAGAAGGAGAAGGAAAAGGAGGCTGAGGCGGAGAGGGAAAGGGAGAAAGCGACGATTAGCAAGAAGCAGCAGGAGATTTTGGATAAACGAAAGCTCGAAGAGACCGCCAAGCTAGAGGCGGACGACGCCGCGAGGCTGAAAGAGAAAGAGCCGGCGGCGGAGAAGCTTGCTGAGACATTGGACCTTGCTAAGCTTGAGAAGGACTTGCTGGACATGTGCCTGGGCTTCACGCGCATAACTGACACGTTTGTCGGCTTCCCTGGCATCACCTCAAGTCTAAAGACACCGGAAGCACAGTTGAAGCTATCCAGGTGCTTGCGGCAAGTCCCGCCACGGGGCCAGCTCAGCACGTCTTGTGGCAAAGCTTCGAGCACCGAAGGCCGTCACATAGGTCGTGGGTCCTCTCCTGAGCCGTCACGGGGCCACCTTAGCCGTCCAGGGAGTCTCTTGGAACCGTCGTGAGGCCAGCTGAGAACGTCTTGGATCCCTCCTGTAGGCCCTCTTGGACCAGCTTGGGGGGCCACCTTGGGGCCGTCCTAAGCCGTCTGTGGGGACCTGGTGGGTTGTCTTGAGCCGTCTTACGGGATTATTCGTTATTTGGGAGATGTGTTGATGTCGTGGTGTCGTTTTGATGGCCTCGAGGGCCGTCTGGAGCTGCAGGAAGCCCAAAGGGGGCGAAGATGCCAAAACCTTTTTACAAAAAAAACACACCTACAGAGAATGAATGATGTTGGCTTCTTCTCGCTCTATTAGGGGTTCCATTGTGGCATTCTAGGACCATGTTGGGGACCCGACCCCTTGGGCTGTCTTGAGCCATCTTGGTGGGCCACCTTGGGCCGCCTTGGAGGCATCTTGGGCCATCTTGGAGGTATTGCTGGCTGGCCTGGGCCGTCTTTGAAGCAATATTGGACATTTTCGAGGCCATGAAAGGCTGTAGGATGACGTTGGCGCGCCCAGGGACCATGGGCGGGGGGGGGGCGGTGCATGCACCACTCCGTGAGGAGAAGCGCGGGGCCCCGGAGAAGATTACAGAAACCCTGCTAGACTGCACTTGGCACTACAGTGGAGGCCCATGCCAAGGAACACCATGCTTGTCTCCAGGGTGCCCTGGGTTTCTTGGGTTTGGATGGTTTTGCTATGGAAAGCGTGACGCTCCCACACCAAAAAATCAATGGACGTCCTGGGGTCTCAGGGTTGGGTTGCTTGTGGAAGGTGTCTTGCGGAATGGCCCCATGCTGTATACCACACTTCAACGTGCCAGGGGGCACGGTGTCGGATTGCTCAAGGTAGTCAAATCTGTCAGGACCGCACTCAAGAAGATGCAGCTAGATAAGCTCCCGCCGCCCCAGCAACCAAAAGCCAGGCAGCTCGTGCAATACCTCTTCTGCCTGCTCCAGGAGCTGATGAACTCGTACGGGAAACGACTGGATGGCAAAGGCATCAAGCAAGTCCAGGAGGCGTTGATCTGCATTGGCTTTCCGAAGGTTGCTGGGCATGCTTTCAAGACCTGGCTGGACCATAAAGCAAAGGAGGCTGAATCTGCTGCGAAGGCAAGCGAGAACGACAAGGGGAAGGACGACAAGAAGAAGGGAAAGGACGACAAAAAGGACGACAAGAAGGATAAGAAGGAAGACAAGAAAGACAAGAAAGATGACAAGAAAGATAAAAAAGACAAGAAGGAAAAGAAAGAGGATGACGACGAAAAGGATCTAGAATCGTACAAGGTCACCAAAGACGTGGATTTAGTCTGGTCCGGTGTCGGCAATGACGAGTACGCCTTCCAGCTGATGTACCTTGGTCCCCATATGGCCCGCACCGTCGGCACAGCGAAGGACCCCCTCGGCCGCGTCAATTTCAAGCCCGACGGCTGGCAGCGGCAGCTCTTGGACGTCGTGGACTCGAAACGGTCCTCGCTGGTTGTGGCCCCGACGGCGAGTGGCAAAACCTTCATCGGGTATTACGTCATGGACAAGGTCCTGCGAGAGGATAACGACGGCGTGGCCGTCTACGTGGCTCCGTCGAAGGCGTTGGTCAACCAGGTCAGTGCTGAGATCTACGCCCGCTTCTCGAGCAAAAATTACCCGCCGAACTCTAGAACTGAGCTGCTCGGGAGCTTCTTGCGGGAGTTCAATACTGCAGGAGGTGTCGCCGAACAGGGGAAATGGAAGAATTGCCAGATCTTGGTGACGATTCCACACATTCTGGAGATGCTGCTGATGTCGCGCACCAACCAGGATTGGGTAAAGCGCCTCAAGTGGATAATTTTTGACGAGGTGCACTGCATCGGAGAGCAGGAGGGCGGCGTGCAGTGGGAGCACAACTTTCAAATGATCCCTTGCCCGTTCATCGCGCTGTCGGCAACTGTCGCCGACCCATCGTTCTTCCACGGGTGGCTCGGAAGCCTGGCCAAGCAGAAGAAGCTGGCGGACGTCGACCTGGTTGTTCACACAGAGCGGTGGAATGACCTCTACAAATTCGTATTCTGTGATGGTGCGCTCAGGCCGCTTCATCCTTTCTGCGCGTTAGTTGAGAAGTCCGTGCGCAAAAATGGCCTTGCCTCCGACATGACCTTAACGCCACAGGAGATGATCACGCTATTCCAGGAAGTCAAGAGGATCGTTGGCAAGAATGATCGCTGGGATGCGCTGCTGCCTTCAACCTGGTTTGGCAATGAAGTGGGCTTCGTGTCGAAAGGCGACGCCCGCAAATACGAGAGACGCATGAAAGAGCTCTTCCTCGAGCTTCTGACAGAAAACACGATCAACAGCGAGCGCTTCTCAGATCTGGGGATGACGCTACAGAGCACGCCCGAGCTCGATGTCGAGATGCTGAGCGGCAAGAGCTCCTCTAAGTTCGCCCCACCGTCGCGTTCCGAGCATGGGGAGAAAGCCACTGACATGACGCAGCTTGTGCAAAAGAACTCGTATCTTCAGGCTCCGACCCTCGTCGACCTCTGCCGCAAGCTGGACAAGTCCGAGTACCTCCCAGCGATTATCTTCAACTTTTCCACGAAGGACATCGAGAAGATGCTCAACAGGCTGGTAAAGGAGCTCAAAGACCAGCAATGGAACAAGTACTATGGCACCGAGGAGGCGGCCTGGAAGTCTAAGAAGCTCATGGAGGCGCGCTATAAGGAGTACGAGGCGAAGAAGAAGGCGTACGAGGAGGCGCTGAAAGCCAAGGGCAACAAGAACCAGGAGGCCAAGGCAGCCCGGAAGTCCGGCGGAGACGACGAGGGCCGCGGCAACAGGAATGCCGAGGCAGCTGACACCACCCAGGACGTCGCCCGTTTTGCTCGTGTCTCCCAACCGATCCCCCTCACCTTTCCTTCCCCTCTCTCTCTCTCTCGCTTTGTCTGCCTCCTGCTTCCCACCCCATTGCTCCTCTTCCTCTTCGCCCCTCCACCTCTCTCTCTCTCTCGCTCTGTGTCTCTCTCTCTCTCTCTCTCTCTGCATCTGTGCACACATGTACATATATATATATATATATACATACATACATATTATCATACGCACCTCTCCGAGGGAGTAGAGCTCAGAGGCGATGAATTGAAGGCCGCGCCGCGTCCGCGATTTTTCTGGCCGTTTCGCTAGGGACATCCTCGAAATTCTGAAAATCGGTGGCACCACTCACACAGATCGTGACGTCAGGGTCCAAAAACGCATGGGAGTTTCAACATTCTAAAATA